TTTGACGACAACGGGGAATCACAAATTTTTATAGTAGAGAAGAAGATATTGTTGTGTTGTACTCGGCATTGTTGTGGAACACAACAATGCCGAGTATAAACAAACATAAGTTGACATTGTTGATGACGTCATTTTTTGACGACAACGGGGAATCACAAATTTTTATAGTAGATATATATACACATACATATGCATGAACTCGTTGAACAAACGTGTTCACCGACACGATCTTTGGTTCTGTCGGACGTCTCGTTATCTTTAAAAGTAACTGACGTAATTTGTTTGTCAGTTTTGCGATGCACGTGGAAAATGAAAATGTTCGAAATTTGCATTAGTACTGAGCAGGGAGCTTACTTACGAAACACAGTATACGTGTTATGTCGTGAGTTGTAATTAAGAAAATTTAATATCAGGGCGAATCCTTCCTTTTCTTTCAGAGTGCAAACGGAAATGTTTATATCGACAAAACTTCGTAGCCGATCGTCAAGATTTGACTTTAGATAAGGGATTCACGTGGTACGTCTTTCTTATCGGAAAAGATATTAAGCTACGGGATTTAATTTGAGACGAACCGTTGTATGCGTTAGTAACTCTTGAGAAACTGATGGTCGCTCATGGAACCAGAAACTCACTGTCGTCTTCAAGAACACCACGCCAACGGTTTTAGTCCCGAGTCTGACCAGTCCAGTCCAGTCCAGTCCTTCAGGTACATTTTTAATTTCGTTCCGGGTGGAGACTGTCCTGACAATTGTCCATGGTTTTCCTCAGTTTCTGCGGGCGAAATTCTAGGAGAGAACCTCCCCGCCCTCGTACCCACTGACTGGTTGGGGGCCACTACGACCAGTCTGGACGTTGTGAAGAGGGAAATCCATCGTCACCGCCTCCTTCCAAATCCTTACCTACCCACCGTTTTTCATATTGTTCTCAATAACATCTGCATTTCAAACACCATGTTCACAGGACCCAAGTTGGGTCTACGACCTGTGAACAGATTCTCGTGCTGTTTACCTGAAATGGGGCAGAGTTCCCGGCTGGTTACTGTGGGCTTGTTTCAGAGCTGTGTATTTGATGGTTGGACAAACAAATGGACCAACTGGTACGATAAAATAACACGGGAAGAAGTCTCAGAAATAAAGAAGTAATTGCCCCGACAAAGTTGCAGCTGCTGTCAAGAAAAAGCAGACCCGGTAATGAGTGGTTCCCCGATAACACCCCCCCCCCTTCCTTGCCATGCTTCAGTTCCCTTGGCCGAAGACCGACTTGGTTGTACTCTCTAGGGAACGTTTTAATTACGCGTAGGGTGTAAGGGACATCCGAGGCGCTTGATCTCGAAATAAAGACAGAATCTGTCGTTACTCCACGTGAACTGACGTGAGGGGTGTAGCCAGTCCGAGCTTTGAACCGCGTACCTTCCGAATACAAAGCTGTTCCGATGTTATTTCTGTTTGACTTCCAGTGACCTGTGATTGTAGTTGTTATAGCTTCTCGGAAAGAATTGCTCTGATCTGTTTGTTTGTTGTGTTCCTGTCGGTCGGCATGGATACCGCGTTCTGGCGTGTGCCAGTGTGAAGGAAGGT